CTCTTCCTCTTTCCACGCTTTCCTCTTTTCTCCGTGTGCTTCTGTTCCTCATTTTACTTCTCTTGCTCTCCGACCGTCCCCCTCTCGGACGATGTTTGCACCCTTGCTCTTCGCGAGAGTTCTTTGTGCCTCTCCTCCTTTTGTTCGCCTCGGTGATCCTCTCGGAGAACGTCCAGAGCCTTTACCAGAACGTTCGAGACAGTGTTTTATGGGATGTTTTCGAAAACAAGCAAGGATTCACCCACTACGGATAGCGATCGTTGGGAAAGAGAAGGTATCGTGCGATTGGTCCTATATTCTCTAGGTTTTCTGGTAAAATGGGATAGGTTTACTGTCAGTGGCCCATATATAGTTTGATTTTTCCTACCATCGCTGCTTGAACCGGGGCATCTACTTTCGGAACCTCCCGCCACACCATTAACACGAAATATTTACGAAGCCAGAATATTATGTGCTTCTTTTATAGAAAGAGTCTTTGGAATCTCGTAAACGAGGAACGAGTTCGTTGAATCCCGAATAACAGTTACTTGGATATTCTATTTCTGGCGGACCACCCTGCGCAGGATCGTAAACGCTTCGCGAACAAGTTGTCCAAGCGCGGAGCAAAGAATTTTCGCAACGCGTAGGCTATCCTTTTAGTATTCCCCGCGGTTCGGCGTCTTTTTATACGGATGCGTCCTTTCCACGATCGTGGACGGGGTTTCTGTTTTACTTTTATCCTTTGACCAAGCATTCCTGACAAGGACTCCTACCACCGGCCGAGGCTCAGCCCGATGATGGATTCGTAATTACCAGTTTCTATTTGCAGTTTCTGTCGTGAGAACACCGTCATCGCGCTGAGAATAGAACCTGTCCCTTGGTCGATGCACCTAGCAAGAAACGAGTTATCGCGACCGTAATATCGATCAACGCCACCTTTGCCGCTCGCCTTTATCTTCACTGCTTCCGATTCGCGAATTCTTCTTGGCCCTGCTACAACCAGAGCCGTATACACCGTGAAATTCGCGAAGCTATTGCTACGTGTTTCTTATTTCTTGATTTTTTAATTTAATTGTCACTCGCAAGCGTAGAAGACAATTGTTTGTCTCCTCATGTTCGTAAAACGGTAAGAGAAAAGTAAAGGACTCAATCGAAGCTAATTGGTCAGCTTTGAAAAGTCCACATTCGTCAGCAGCCGGGAGTGCTCTCGTTGGCGCCGGGAGCAAACTCGGCCCGCGATTGTTTTTCTCGTCTAAATATTAATCGATTAGGATTCCCTGCTCGGTCAACGGAGTTAACGTTTTAGTATTAATTGCAGGATATATTTGTACGCGTTCTTGACATCGTTCGACCAAACCGGTTTCCAGTTGTTCATTTGCAAAGGAGTTTTTATTGCGCATAGGAACATGTATTTCAGAATTCTTTTTCTGAGATGGCTGCCAACCCCTTGCTCCGGCAATTAAGCGGGGAAACAACCTTTTCCTTTTCGATGCATTCTCAGACATGGAAACTCCTGCGAACGTTATATTCTTCAGAATTTTCTTGAAAAATTCGTGAAGCAAAATAGTTCCTGATAAGTTTTTTTTACACGGTGATTCTGTTATTGTTAATATATTTATAGCGATTGTTTTTTTTTTGCGGAAGGGTATTTAAGAAAACAGTCGGGAAAAGCGATGCGTGCGAAAATACGAGACCATCGCGATTGCAGACATACGACACGTGCCGAGTCTATCTTCGGGTTTCCTCTTCGTTTCGTGACATCCGCTCGTCGCGTATTCGATGCATTGTTACGTGTGCAGGCACGAGACAAACGGTCGACGCAGTAAATAGTTACGATGATTGAAATTCTGTTAAATTGTAGACCGAATCAAACTAGTGGGGTTCAAAGTCACGAGGAATATTGGAACGAGAAAGAGTAGAATTTTTTCTTATCCTAAATTTAATGTCCAAAATGGCAAGCAAGTAGATCTGTTTAAACTAGGGTAACAAGTGATTGAATATAAAGACCCACAATGTGGGAAGCTACGATTGTGCGTGTACTTTTTGTTACGACTGTAATTGCAAGAAACATTCTAATTAGAAGAAAAGTACGTTTCACGATCCATGCTTCTCCCGCTTTAGCTGTTTTAAATTACAAAATTCTCACGGGAAATGGAAGTCTGCGAATACGCTACCCTTTTTCGTGCCGGTCGTTGCGAGCTCAGCCAAGCGGCAAACCTCAAGGGCTGCGCGCGTGTTTGTACGATGGCAGTCATAAACGCAGCGCATCCAACTTCGCAGGAAATATTATCACTTAGAACGCACGATTGTGGCAATGCTAACGAACGAACTTGACTGCCGTGCACAGGAAACGGCGCGTTAGTTTTGTATGCGCAGCCCAGAAAATCGCGTCTTCTCGCCCTCTTCTACGTGAAAACGTTCTCACCATTGTCCGCGGGACAATAATCGCGGAGATTTGAGAACTTTTTCGTTGGGTTCCATTTATCGCGTTTATTCGCCAGAGAATATTCCTGAATTTAACCCGTTCACTGCCAATTGACGATATCTCTAAGTTTAGATTGATTGCAATCAGTCGAAGAATAAGTTTATAGTTTTTTGGGTCATTAGTTATTAAACAAGGAGAACGAAATTTTGTTGACCTAAACACCACTGTACGTGAACTATTATTCTATTGATATATAAATCATCCACCTATATATATATATATCATCCTACTAATTTCTGACGAGCAATAAAAAATATCCACCCCTCGGTGATCGATTCCAAGGGCAGTGACCTCGAATCTTCTCTTTCGAGCGTGCCATGCAGCCGATCTTCGGAGAGTCGGTACGGTTCGGTGCAACTGCATAAACGAACACGACCAGGCACGACTCGAAGGGTTAAGAGAGACATACTCAACGGTGCTAACGAACGTATATACATCTCCGTGCAGTTGAATTCAACGGTGGCATCGGTTTGCTCAGCAATTAGCTGGTCTAGCCGAGTGGAATTCACAGATGGCACGTTCGTGTTTGACGTATCGCGGCGGCTGTATCGCACTAGACCGGTAGCCAGCTTCCTTTTTTTGCGTTTTCGTGGCCAGCCAGGGACGAGCAAAAAGAGACGGTAGAGGAGCTGGGAGGGACTCGAATAGGGGAAAGAAGTCGTTTCGAGTAAGCGCCTGTCAGGTTCAACGGCCGCCATTTTTCGCGTCTCGAGATGGCTTCGAAGAAGACGAAGACCGACGCCTCCGAGTGGCCGTGAAGACACCGGTCTTTGCGGAAGTCGCGGTGGCCGCGGGATTTTCTTTATTTACCTCGAGGCATCTCGATAAATCGCATCGCCCCGTAAATCGGTATCTATTCATGGACCGCAGCCGTCGCTCGCTTTCTAATTTATTAAGATAGTACGAAGGGCGCGAATTGCAATCTCGAAGACGATAAGGAGAATCGCCGGCGTTCTCCTCCGGAACCTCTCGACACGTTCGCCGAGATACTGTTACCGAACGGCTACGAGATCATCGGACTCGAGATATCGCGGTCGACCAGGTCAACCGAGAACTGGAACCGATTCAGCGACTTTCGAATCGTTTGCCCGACTGTGCAGAACAGTCACGCCGCTAAAAATCGCCTTCATCTATCTACGATCGCGTAACGATCGCTCTGTACCGTTACTCTCGGTCAAGGTTCTACGCCAGGATCGATTCGGAATATCTCGATTGCCGCGGCGAGCGATCTTCCAGCGTCGTTCCTTCTTCCTTTCTCCATGGCTCGATGCTCGACGACGATTCAGGAACTACCTGTCGCGATTACCGATGAAGACACGAATATCGATGCTCGGTTACACGAAAGTTCTGTTATACGAACGTTCTACGATCGATCGTCGGAGTACCAGGAAAAGGAAAATATTGACGGAACGGAGGATCGTCAGAATGCGAACGGGACAGAGAAATCCGCGTGGAAACGATCGTGTGAGGTCGCGGCACACGCTGGAGGGATACGAACGAGCGAATAGGTTGAGGGTCGTGAGTGGCCGTTGACCCTACGTGTGTACCTGCGCGGACAGGAGCGGCGAGTGTAGCTACGACCACCTAGGACAGACTAGAATCCACATTGGTAATAGCTTCTCTAGTCTGCCGACCTTCCACTCGTAAAAACAAATATTCATGGAACACCGCGCCGCGCACCGTCGACGAAAGAACCGCGTCTCGCGAGTCCTCGAGCTCTGGCATAGCTGGGACACCAGAGGATTGTTAATTGCGGCTTATTTTCACCTGGGGTGATCTCGTGCCTCAGCTTGACCCCTAATTAATCGGCCAGGGAATGATACGAGTTGTCAGGGTAACAGAATTTCAAAGATTATTCTTCAGTGTTATTCTGTGGATACATTTTTTTATTACAATCTCTTAAAAGGAATTATAGACGTCATGGTTTATTTCTTAGAGCCAATTGCGATTTAAATTAGCGATCAGTATTTTTAGTACCAAGAACACAATTTTAATTATCTTTGTGTTGGGCAATTTTGCTACTCTCAGCTTTAATACTCCTATGTACGCAACCTTCCTCAACATGGAACCAGATCAAATGGAGTACACGTTCGCGTAAGCCACCGCCATAGCTCTCGCGTCCCCGATCCACCTTCCGAAGTGGGTCCCGCAAATAAACTCGTATCCTGTGTATTTTTAATGATAACGAATGCACCACGCAGGACATAAACCAAAAGAAATAAACATACAGACCACTCGAATGTGACGAATCGTAAAACGTGATTAACAATATTACGGCCGGTCGGTGCGCCCATGATGGACGTTTAGTTATTTCGATGCAACAGGCAGGATAATTTAATCGGCGATGCAAAAGTTGCCTCGATCTTCCAGAGAAGATCCTTGAGAGTCACTCTTCGTCCCTGAACGTTGCTATTTTTCATTTTCTTCGTTAGTACGCGCGCATTCCCGTCTGGTCGTGCTTTTAACGTCGCGCAGCTTCGTCGTCTCCGCGATTAGGATCCGTTTCTAACCGATTACGTCATGTATCTTGTTGCAGTACCCGGCTGGTGCATCCAGCGAGCTTCTGCCAGAGGACAGAGGAACGAATTACGCGCCACCTGGAACCCTGCCCTCAAACGGTGAACAAATCTCTACAGCAGCCAAAGATCTCCTGAAACGGTTGCTGGAGCCAGACCCTTGTCTCAGGTTGAGGTCTCTACGCGGCTTGCAGAGAATCGCGTTTTATATGGGCCACGATCTACAGAGCTACATGCTGAAAAAGGTGAGACCTAGAAAGTACACAAATAGGCTAAGTGGTGAAACGATTCCATTGACATTTATTTTAATTTTATTGTCACGGAGGAATCGCCATTTCAACTGCTAGGACGGAAGGTTCAAACTCAGCAGGAGAGGATGATCAGAGAGTTCTCCAATTTCGACTCGTCCTTGGGTGACAACAGCATCTCTCACGCCGAGGATCGATGATCTCACACTAGTAGTAGCTTTATCTCTAGCTTTAGCTGTCGCGAGACAAACGAGTCGTTCCTCAGCTATTTTTTCAACAGAGATGGGCGTTGCTAATAGAAAAGAAATTGTGTCAGTACAATCCGTTGTTCGTCAATTAAAATCGCCCATCTCTGGTTTCCCGATTGTGTTGCTTGCCGAGCAACGTCATCGATGCCATCCATTAGTTTAAGCGTCGAGATGATCTCGTGTTTGCGGAAGGTAAAAATTAGTTTAAATGATCAGTTAGATTTTTCTATTCTGCAGCTAGAACAGATATTCTTTTTACCCTATGTGATTGGTGTATGCAAGTCTGCAAACGGTGCTGTTCCCTAAACAGGAGGTGCGCTTTTGTATCGCTGAATGTTAAAACGTATGGGGCTTTCGTGTGCGGTGTGCTTTGATGTAGGTGACGATACCTACCAAATGTATCCTGATATAAATGAAACTACTTGACTATGGTATTTAACGAGTGTTTCATTGGAATCTTCAACAAGTCGAGAAAAAATTGTAAGTCTCAGTTTACAAAAGTTTTAATTTCTTTAAGAATAGTTAACAGTATTTTTGTTACAGTATTTCATCGATAATACAATAAATTGCGATAAATCGTAGTGCGTACAAACTAACAAACAAAAAAGAAAAGAAAACAGAACGGATCTGAATCAAAAAACGCAGCGTCTTTTTTCGGTGTATTATTTTTGTTGTTTTTTTTTCTTTTATGTTTAGTTTAGTTTTCATCAAAATCAATACGAGAACCGTGTTTTTTTTTTTTTTTACTGCATTCTTTCATTCGTCTCTTTTGCATTCGTCCACGAATAGTATACGTATATTACCATCGGATTTGTTGCTCCGTGTCCTCGTTCGTCTTCGTGCGTTTCAATTTTTTTCCATTATTTTGTTCACCGTTTTTTCTCTCTTTCGCATTGCTCTCTCGGGAATCGACAGGGGCGGCTCCGCTCAGCTGGAGCCGCGATCAATCGAAGTTTTACGTTATAATAATTATATATACATTATTATTCTTACACTTAAAGGGTTTCTCGATTTCGATATATAATACAACGCATCTTCTCCTCAAAGTTCACGTCCCCCAAAGACAACGTCATTCGCGAACGACCGCTCCTCGAACGTCCATTCTCTGCTCCAGAAGCAAACAACGAACAATAAAATCCGTAAGAGGTATTTTCTAAAAACGGTACAATAAATAAACTCGAACATCCGAGGATCACGATTCCATTACTCTTAACACTTTGCCAAAGTTCACCGAATATTTTCTAGGAAACTAAAGAATTTAAAAGTTTCACCGAGACACCATGATTGTTATTTAAAAATTTTATCAATCTCCATATTAAAGGAGTTATAGAAGTTCAAATAAAGTCATAGTGCAGTGCATAGTTTGCGAGAAGTTTGGCAAAATGTTGAGAAAACAACATCGTCACACGAACGGACGAATAGTCCATAAAATCCCCAATAAAAGACGAAGGTTTCTCGAATAAATAACGAAAGATCACGACCAACAGGGTGGGAATAAAATAGGAGAACCTTTGGACGTCGCCAGTGATCGTTCGCGAGTCGAGTTTGTCTGCTAAATTCGCCCAATTCGCGATTCTCGACGAGTCGACGCCAAACTCATTGCCGTTCATCAACAATTGGCACGAAGCACAGACAGCCTTGGACCTGGACGTGCTTCTGCTTCGTTTACAAAACAGAACGAAATGTAATTATTACGTCTAATCGACTGCTTCCTCCGCACTTTTGGTAAAAATCTGTCGGGCTAGCACCGGTCACGTGCCTCGCGATTCTTGCTACTTCTGTTTTGCTCCCAACTCGGAGCAGAATTAGAAACTGCATCGTCATTTCCAGTCTTGAACCAGTAATTTGCAATCTTCCAGATCATTAATCGGTCGTTAATCGATTCTTATTATCCGGTAATTATAATCACGGATTACAGGTTGCGTATTGCTGACTTTTGAAGGACCTTACGGCGCTATCTGCGCGAAGGGTCCACGCTAGGAAATCGCGAGACCGACGACTAGCGATGAGATCGAGCTGGGTATATATTTACTTTATGCTGTTCGAGTACTGTTTGCGAGAAATTAAGTTTCAGTCGTTCTACTTGCAACGCACTCAGTCTATACGAGCTGATTTCGAACCCCTGAATGAGTCGAGGCGAGTGAAAATTTTTCTTTGGAATCTCCAAAGTACGTCTCATCCAAAAATCAATGCTCAAAAACCTTACCATCGTTATTCGTATACGATATACGAAGATTAAGATTCTATATTCGAAACAAAATATCCACAATGGGTTCGAATCCACCTAATTTAAGCTCGAGTCTACCTGCAAGTACCGTGCTTGCTTCTCGAGATATTTCTAAAGTATTCGAACTTGCTTTGTACCAGTGCACGATCCCATCGCGAGCAGTGACCGAACGCCTCGAAAAGCCCTTGTCGTTCGTTGTCACGAGCTTGCTTCCTCTAGCGACGCAACGATCGCTAATCGGCACTCGTGACACGATCAGTCGATCATCTCCTCTCGTCCCTTTTCACGCTCCCTTAAATTACGAGTTACCTTATTGTTGTTACTGTCGTTATTGTTTATAATAGCGCTATCGTAAGATATTATGATACAAGTAGAATCGTCCGTTTTGCACGGCCAGCGATCATTTCTTTTTACAGCCTGACTTGTTTTGCTATGCGTTTACACGTGCGCTCGACCGTCGGCGTTCCGCGAATTGCTTGGGAATCTGCTCGAGTTTCGCGGTTTGTTTCACTGTTTGTTCCACCCTACTCGGCCGATTCGTTATCTTTTATTTGTTATACGAAATTTTCTAGATAAGAATTTTGTCCACCTCGGGTAGGTACAAAACGCTGGCGACTAGCGTTTCATAAAAATTTAACTGTCCTAATTTACTGTAATTGGATCAAATCTACGAGTCATCGTAACTTTAATCTATTCGGTACTAGTAACACTCCGAGCTCAACCCTTACCGCGCATTGAAATCACCACGCCTCGTATTCAATAACAATGAATATCTGTTCCCCATTAAACAGGGTTCCAACCATCGATGCTTTCGTTACATAAAAATTTACATATCTTCTACAATGATTCGTAAATACGTAAGTGTAAGCATAGATTAAAATCTTTAACGGTTTCTTTAGAAAAAAAAAAATTACGGTCAACCATTTTAGGTCCTCTTTTATCATCAAAATATCCGTCATAAACTACCCCGGGCTCGAGGCGTTAATCGACGATACTATTTCGCGGCAATGTTTCTGAATGCAAATTCGTTCTATCAGAGTTCACCGATGCAATTTCGCGGAACGTGTCCATCGAGCATGCACGCATAACGCGAGCAACGCGAGGACAGAGCAAATCAAAAACTGCACGAGCGGTCGACCGCGGTCGGTAGCAAATTTCGTTTTGGATCATCGATTCCGTCACGTGTCAAGCTTCTCCATAGAGGGTGCATTTTCGGTTTGCTCGGTGCGAGGGTCGAGGACCGTCCTCGCGACCGACAGAGACCCCCGTCAGCGCTGACAATAATTTCATCGCGTCACTCCCACACAAACTGTATAATAATACCGCAGACTGGACACGACGTCGGAGAAAATATTCGACAGTTGTCCTCTGGTGCGCGTTTCAACTTCCGTTTCTTTTTTTTTTTATCTCATTTGTACACAAAATACCAACTATCATGTGCTGGAAAACGCACATACTGCTTGTACGCCTCGATATAAATATATATATATATTTATATATATATATATAAATATATATATATAATATATATCTATGTATAGTATTTATATATGTATATGGTGTATCGTTTGTTTTTTATATATTTTTTTTTGCGTTAGGGCGTCAGTTTACCTAAAAATCAATATTTATAAGTATTTCCTTCGTTCTGCCATTGCGTAATATCGTAGCGCGTAGCGTGGATCTCTCTATTGCGGTGTTTTACAATTTACGCCTAAATCGCGTTCAATTAATATATTTACAGTCGTTCGTTTTTTTTCCTTTCATTTAGTCGTATGTTTCACTCGTCGTGCTCCACCCTCGATGCGATTTCTCAAGAGTGGCGCGCACGACGTTAAAGGGTGACTTAAAAAAAAAAAAAAAAAAAGAAAGAGGGGAAAAGAAGAAGAAAAAATATACGAGAAAATTCCGAGAGAATCGCGTGCAAGGATTCTTCTCAACTTTTTCTCGTATCTCCATTCTCGTTTTATTTCTCTCTTTTTTTCCACCCGCTTCTAGAGAAGCCTAGAAACGTTTGTCTCCGTTGATCTCGTTGCTCTCCCGCTCTTCTCGTAATTTTTTCCACCAAACGCTCACACTCGCACACTGGACAGAGATGGGCAAAATTTCTCTCACGGATATAAATCTCAAATAACGAAGGATAAACTAGCGACAACAAGACAAAGACGAGATAAAATTAACAACGAATCTCAACCTCAACTGTACAGGTCGATGTCATCGACCACTTTTCGTGTTTTTTAATTTATTAGATAACACAGCAACAATCCTCTTTCGATAAATTCGTTACTCGTTGAATTAAAACTAGAACTTCAACAACGGAATATAATATTTCACAATGATCAAATAAAAATTTAACTACTCAAAATTCATTCTCAATTAAAGCTTGCTTTCATTCGTTATATATCGGTTCAGTTAAATTTTGCCCGTCTCTGTGCGCAACCACAAGTAACCTAGAGAAAAATGGACACTTCATTTTGTTCGACTACACGGTAGCCACAGCGCTCGACCAATGGGAACGAGAGAGACGCATCTCTCTCTCTACATTGAATTGGTACGCTCGAAGGTATTTTTCTTCTTCACCTTCGACGACCGCGAACTTTGACGAATTTTTTTAATATCGAACTGTTGAGTTCACCGACGGACCATCCGATCCTCTCATCTCATTGGACGATCGTTAAAACTAGACGCTACTTAAAAGGAAACATCATTTCTATAACGACGAATAAAAACACCGCGTAGCAATTTATTTGTTATGTTTATACGATCAGTTATTCGATCAAGCTTTTATTCGTTCAAGCGACAGAAATAGGAAGCTTCGAGGGATCTTTCCTTTCAGACCTCCTCGTTAATCGATACTTTTTGAACCAGTGATTCTTATCGCGAATTTTTTTTTTTTAGCTCTTAAGACTGTTATTATAACTCAATGCAGGACAAAATCGAGCTCGAAACAAACATCGGTGTAAACACAAATATTTTCTTCTTCGGTAATCCATTCCAGCGACGTAACGTCAATTTAAGAACCTTTTTATTTTCTTTCTTAGATTGACTATCGTTCGCTACGTTTCACCGAAAACAAACAGCTGTCTCTTTCGGGCAAAATTTTATCCTTCATTTACACTTTACGAGCGATCTATCGAATTCTTTTTACTACGATTATTCAGGACTAGGAACTATGTCGAGTTTTTTTTCCTCTAAATTGCGTCACAAGCCTACAAAGACTAAGAACTTTCTTTCGAACTGCGAGCTTAGAAAGAACCACTGTTTTGAGCGATCGATCGAAAATCGGTCCACGAAAGAGGGAGAGAGGGAGACGTAGAGAGAGTCTGTGTGTTTGCGTGTGATACCTGGCAGTAAAGGAAAATAGTTTCTTGTCAATTCGAACAAGATTGTCATAAATCCGTGGCGTCCTCGAACGATGCCTCGGTGTGCTCGCCGCTTGGCGAACAGCTTAACAAACTACATAACATTAGCGTGAATACGAACAACGAAGTCATCGATTTTTTAAAAATCGCTTAAAATCACGGTTCCGTGGAATTATCGTAAATCACATTCAGCCGCCGTTCAAAGCTTCGTTCCGTTCGAAAAAAAAGAAAAAAAAAACGAGGTATATCCGTTGTTCTCGGCCAAGAAAATGTTGGTATTCCTCGCGTAGATTTTCTAGCAACGTCAACATATAAAAATATTCCAACTGACGTAC